CCCTCCCCCTCCCCACGGACAGCGGCGCTGCGCATTCAAATGCTCCGGCGCGAAGCGGGCCCCGACTGCCACTCCGAGGCGCCCCTGGGGCTGGCAAATGCGTTCGGGTTCGTGCATTTGAGCAGCTGAAGGTTGGTGGCCGTTCGGAAACATGTATTGCGTTGCTATTTTCGTTCTTGCACGTGTAAAGGTTTTGGAAGAGCCGTTTTGGATCGTTGAAGACCGTTTGGAAACATTTTTCGTGTTTTGAAATGCATTCGTGTCATTCATTTGAACATTTGAGGGATGGAAAGAGTAGTTTAGAAAGGTACGTGACTGTTTGGAAACATTTTTCAGATTGTCATATACGTTCGTGTCTCTATTTGACACGAACGCATTGGAAAAGAGCAGGCTTGAAACGAAGATGTCCGTTTGAGTACATAGTTTCAAGTAAATTGTATTGGTGCCATTCATTTGAATGTTTGTTTGAATGGATTTGGAAGAGCAGTTTTGGAAGGCTGAAGATCGTTTGAAAATATTTTTAGTGTTTTCAGGAATTTTCAGGCATTCAGGTCATTCATTTGAGTATTTGAAGGGTGGTGACCGTTCGGAAACATTTTAAGGATGAATTCGTTCAGATTGCATTCAAGTTGCATTCGATCAGGTTGCATGCGTTTCAGATTGCATTCGTGGCACTCACGTGAACATTTGAAGGATGGAAAGAATCGCATAGAAAGGTAGGGGATCGTTTAGAAACAGTTTTCAAGTTGCTATTTGCGCTCGTGTCATTATTTGAAAAACTGAAGAAGTTGGAAAGAGCAGATTTGGAACATTGGTGACCGTGTAGAAACAGTTTAAAGGTTGCATTCGTGACATTTATTTGAACATTTCAAGGATTTCGAGGGAGCAGTTTGCGAAGGTTGGTGACTGGAAACAATTTTCAGGTTGCATTCGTTCAGACAGCATTCATTTAGGTTGAATTCGTTTTAGATTACTTTCGTGGCATTCATTTTAATATTTTAAGGATGAAAATAGTAGTTCAGAGAGGTAGGTGACTGTTTGGAAACATTTTTCAGGTTGGCATTTGCGTACGCGTCATTATTTGAACATTTGAAAGATTTCGAAAGAGTAGTTTTGGAAGATTGGAGTCCGTTTGGAAACATTTTTGGAATTGTCAATCCCATTCGCATCATTCATTTGAACATTTGAAGGATTTGGAATGAGCAGGTTCGAAACTTAGTTGACCGTTTGGAAACATTTTTCGAGTTATCATGTGCATTTGTGTTGTTCGTGTGAGCATTTTGAGGGTAACTAGTTTTGGAAGGTTAGTGACCATTTGGAAAGACGTTTCAGATTGCCATTTACTTTTGTGTCATACATTTGAAGTATGAAGAATTTGGAAAGAGCAGTTTTGAAAGGTTGAGGAGCATTTGAAGAAGCATTTGAAACAAGAGAAAATTTTCATGTATTGCATTCGTGGCATTCATTTCAAAATAGTAAAGAATTGACAACAGCAGATTTGCAAGGTTGATGTCTGCTTAGAAACATTTTACCGTTCTCATTTGACTTTTTCTTCTTACTGCGTTTTTGGGTCTTTAAATTTTCAAAATTTCCTTAAAAATTACTCAAAATTTTTTTATTCAACTTGTCTCTGAATACTCAAAAGACGCTTAAAAACGGCACGGGTCTCATTTTCGTTGGAATGTCTGAATTTTTGAAAATTTGAAAAGTTCACGTTTTTCCAATTTTTTTCAAAAATACAATATTGGAGATCGATTTTTTGATTTATGAAATCTATTATTAAAATGCGCATTTTTAAATAAAAATTGTACAATTTTTCAGAAATGAGAGCAGTTTTCACGAAATTTTGCGTGAAATTTATTAAATGTTTAAACATTTTTCCTCGGAAAAGGTTTCATTTAACTTATTTCCTCTCATGTAGCAAAGGATGGTAAAATATTAGTGCTGGTCCCATTTTCGGCAAATTCACTGTATTTCCGACAATTACACAAAGTTAGGGTAAGCCGATTAAAAATTGTGCATGTTGAATTTTCTGATATATCGAAAATTGCAAAAGTAAGGAATAATGCGCACAATCTGTGTTATTGTAGCACCACGAGTTCTATTCTGCTTTTCGGGAGCCGAAAAGATATGTAAATGCGAAAATGGCTTTTAGACGCCGATAGGTGGCAGTTGTGAAGAGGGCGGGGACAAAACCGAAAAGCTAGCCCAAACGAAAAAGATTAGGAAACAAACTGGTACGAGAAGTCTATAATATGCATTCGTGTCATTCAATTAAACATATGAATAATTTGTAAAGAACATTTTTTGACGGTTGATGGCTGTTTGGAAACATTCATGTTTTATTTGATTTATTTAATTAAAGAACAGTAAAAACTGTATGTGACGAATTGGGGAGGAGTACCATCTGTTTATAGATGTCCAGAATCCATCCCAACATCTTAACTATAAATAGATAAATGATGGATAAAACTTACAAAATAGTGAGGTTAGTAACATTTGAAACCTAGACCTTTTCGCTTCCAAGTTATAGAAAACTTTTTTCATCAGTAGATAAGAACTTCAGATGTGATGTTTTTGTATTTCGAACGTAATACGCGCCCTCGACTGGGTCATTGATTCGGAATCTATTATATGTGCATTTCTTTCATTCTTTGAGAATTGGATACATTCTGTCATTACAGGTTTGGAATCCTGGTTCCTTTGGAAATATTTTCCAGTTTGTCAAAAGCAGCTTTCAACGCCGCATTTCAGAACATTTAGGTTCTCACATTAGTTTTATTTATTTGAACATAGAATGTGTTTTAAAACAGGAAGTTTGGAAGTGACATCAACATTTGAAAAAAAATCAAGTACTAGGTATTAGCATTGATAGGATTCATTTATTTGAAGAAAGGGTGGATTTGTCAGGTTTGAGACTCTGGTAGCCGTTTGGAAACATACTTAAGATTCTCAAATGCTTTTATTTCATTCTTCAGAACATAAGAAGAATTTGAAAACGCCATGTTGGGACGTTTACCGTTTTGAAACCTTTTATTAACGTTTGTACATTTTTCGGTTGGGTATTTGTCGTAGTTTCATTTGAACACAGGATCGATTCAGACATAGTAGCTTTTTGGAGCCTGCTGATCGTTTGAACGTATTCTCTTGTTAAAATTTAATTTGGTTGAATATTTCATGAATCCGGATAAAGAAAGATTGGAAACCTGATGGCTGAATATTTTTTATTTCTCGTATACGTACGTATATACGGACAAATATAGGTAGGAGGGAGAATTTTAGTGCCGCGGCAAAACCTGTAACTTTTCGTCAGAAAAAGTCGTATTGTAGGGCCCTGATACGCAAAATGTGGACACATTTTGTTCCACTATTATATCCACTTCGATATGTAGGTTGGCGCCGGATCTGATCATCCTGGGGTGAGATCAGCGTCATCTCTCGTGAAAAACAAACAATTAATAACCGAAGACGTTGAGAGGCCGGGAAACACGAACATACAACCTGCAGTAAAACTACGTATGAACGACCGGGCTGCAACCCGCAGAACGCGAGAGTACAACTTGTTGCTTCCTGCAGGAAAGCATTGGCTTTTGCACTTGTGAGATGCGTGGAGAAATAGGCAACGCGGGGGGGGGGGTGTTAAGGCAACGCTTCCCTCCTCTCCCTCACTCACGTAATCACCCAAAAAACTAGTGGTTCTAGAAGAGAACATTCTCGTATAGCCTTCTTTAATACGAATTCTAAACAGAAATATTTGATCTCAACTTTATCGGAAGAGGACTGAGTATCAACTGATGTCACTGGAGTGCCTCTGGGAGATCATATGTTCGAGTCGCGACAGTGGCAGGATTTTCGACATGAGCTTGTAGCTAGGTCGAATTCAGTCGGTGTCTGGAAGAGAATTCTAGTGGCCGGCTGCTGTGATCGGTATTTCGGAGAGAAATGTTTAGTTCACACAACCTAGTGAATTCAACTATAGGGTGTATTATATTTTGAAAGAACAAAGTGCTTAGTCACGGTCACGAAACTGCTGTTTAGTTTAATACACAAATGCACGTTAAGTAATGTTCACTAAACATGTTATAACTCTCGACGAATTGCATTGAATGGAGATAACTAAACGAATCGTTGGGTTGACTACTACATCGAGTAATATTTACTAAACGAATAATTGCTTGTCATAAATTACAAAACGCTGCGCAGTAAGTAGAAACGTGATAAGAAATATTTTCTATCTATCCCTGCTGCCAGGTAGCAACTGGGGATCTAGAGCGGACAGCCATCCAACCGCCTCGCAAGCTCATACTTCCTTTAACAGACTCTACCCAAATAGAACAGATACGAACGCCGGCTGCTGACGTTTGGCTATTGACGGTATTTTTAACATAAGTTTAGAATAGAAAACTTAATTATTTAAAATCAATTATATTCTAATTTATACAGCGTATAATTCTATATACAGCTTGATTTCTCACAGTTCACACGAGCTCTATAACCATAAGAATTGGTTAAATTTCGAAGCACGTGCACTTACGAAGCAGGATTTATTAAGTGTGACGATATGAAACTAAGATTTCACCGAATGATTTTATCTACGAATCAAGTATAGTACTACTAACAATTATCTTTGTTAATTCATTTACTATTTACAATTGTCTGATTTACTAAACGAAACTAAATCATGTTTAGTGAATCTTACCACACAAATAATTGTATTTAATATGTAATTGCTTACTAAACATGTTTTACATTTTACTACAACATCTCTCTCAGCGTAGTTTTCCGTAGTTTCTCCGATCAACACCAGTCGAATGATGCAGCAGTGCCGTAACAAAAGATCCACGGATCTTTCCTTTCTCTTCTTTGGCCTCTCATCAGCCCTCACTTACACACGTACCCTAACACGCACTATACTACCAAGCATGCCGGGAGACCGCTCGGGAGCTTACAGCTTTTCCTGGCAGGGTGGCAAACCTAACAGCCGGTAGGTTGGCGCCGAATCTCGCCACCCAGCGGGGGAAGACTGCCGCCACCTCCTTAGAAAAGGCATGCACTACACTTACGGGACGGATGTTCTTAGCCGGAATCACTAACAACCAAGCAACATCAACATTTCAGGAGGGGATGATGGAGACGAATGGGTATTATTCGCACAACTTTACTATAACGATGGATTGAAGAAATGCAAGTAGATTGGTAGTACTAGTTACAAAATTGGCCACTAGATTGTATTCAGAAATGCTAATCTCTTGAGAATCAGTAATGCCTATGCAATTTTCTCAATTATTTGCGTTCTAACTTTCTCAGGAGCTGGGGTATCTCCTGTGATGGATCTTCACTTGCTTACGGTAATTTCTTTACATATTTTGGAGAAAATCAAGAACAAAAGTTCTCGTCTTCAACAAAAAATAGTTCTACTTCGCGCCAGTGAAGATGTGTTACGAATGTTGTCATCAGTTCTCGCTGCAACCTTTTGCCTTCAACTGTGTATTGTGCCAGAGAGGGAGAAGCAATCGTTCAAGAAAAGTTGCGCGAGTAGTGAAACGAACAG